CACCCGCACCACGGACGTCACTCGCACCACGGACGTCACCCGCACCACGGACGTCACCCGCACCACAGACGTCACCCGCACCACGGACGTCACCCGCACCACGGACGTCACCCGCATCATGGACGTCACCCGCATCACGGATGTCACCTGCACCACGGATGTCACCCGCACCACGGACGTCACCCGCATCACAGACATCACCCGCATCACGGACGTCACCTGCATTATGGACGTCACCTGCACCACGGACGTCACCCGCATCACGGACGTCACCCGCATCACGGACGTCACCCGCACCACGGACGTCACCCGCATTACGGACGTCACCCGCACCATGGACGTCACCCGCACCATGGATGTCACCCGTATCAGGGACGTCACCCGCACCACGGACGTCACCCGCACCATGGACGTCACCCGCACCACGGACGTCACCCGCACCAAGGACGTCACCCACATCACGGACGTCACCTGCATCACGGACATCACCCACATCACGGACGTCACCCACACCACGGACGTCACCCGCATTACGGACGTCACCCGCACCACGGACGTCACCCGCATCATGGACGTCACCCGCATCACGGATGTCACCCGCACCACGGACGTCACCCGCACCACGGACGTCACCCGCACCATGGACGTCATCCGCATCACAGACATCACCCGCATCACGGACGTCACCTGCATCACGGACGTCACCCGCATCACGGACGTCACCTGCACCACGGACGTCACCCGCATTACAGTCGTCACCTGCACCACGGACGTCACCTGCACCACGGACGTCACCCGCATCACGGAGGTCACCCGCATCACGGACGGCACCCGCACCACGGACGTCATCCGCACCACAGACGTCACCCGCACCACGGACGTCACCCGCACCACGGACGTCACCCGCATCACAGACATCACCCGCATCACGGACGTCACCTGCATTACGGACGTCACCCGCACCACGGACGTCACCCGCATCACGGATGTCACCCGCATCACGGACGTCACCCGCACCACGGACGTCACCCGCATTACGGACGTCACCCGCACCACGGACGTCACCCGCATCACGGACGTCACCCGCATCACGGACGTCACCCGCACCACGGACGTCACCCGCACCATGGATGTCACCCGTATCAGGGACGTCACCCGCACCACGGACGTCACCCGCACCATGGACGTCACCCGCACCACGGACGTCACCCGCACCACACCACGGACGTCACCCGCACCACGGACGTCACCCACATCACGGACGTCACCCGCATCACGGACATCACCCACATCACGGACGTCACCCACACCACGGACGTCACCCGCATTACGGACGTCACCCGCACCACGGATGTCACCCGCACCACGGACGTCACCCGCATCATGGACGTCACCCGCATCACGGATGCAATCTGCACCACGGACGTCACCCGCACCACGGACGTCACCCGCATCACAGACATCACCCGCATCACGGACGTCACCTGCACCACGGACGTCACCCGCATCACGGATGTCACCCACACCACGGACGTCACCCGCACCACGGACGTCACCCGCATCACGGACGTCACCTGCACCACGGACGTCACCCGCATCACGGACGGCACCCGCACCACGGACGTCACCCGCACCTCGGACATCACCCGCACCACGGACATCACCCGCACCACGGACGTCACCCGCATCACGGACGTCACCCGCACCACGGACGTCACCCGCACCACGGACGTCACCCCCATCACGGACGGCACCTGCACCACGGACAGCACCTGCACCACGGACGTCACCCGCATCACGGACGTCACCCGCATCATGGACGTCACCTGCATCAGGGACGTCACCCGCACCATGGACGTCACCTGCACCATGGACGTCACCCGCATCACGGACGTCACCCGCATCACGGACGTCACCTGCATCACGGACGTCACCTGCATTACGGACGTCACCCGCATCACGGACGTCACCCACATCACGGACGTCACCCGCACCATGGATGTCACCCGCATCACGGACGGCACCTGCATCAGGGACGTCACCTGCACCATGGACGGCACCCGCACCACGGACATCACCCGCACCACGGACGTCACCCACATCACGGACGTCACCCGCACCACGGACGTCACCCG